AAAAAAAACTTGTTTTGCAAATTCAAATGCCTTAGTAAGCGCAGGCGCAAGCACGAGAAAAGTGATTTTTCAATGGCTACCAAATAGAACAAATTGGAACTACAAACATTTAGTAAGCTACGCATAGCTTCCTGCAACTAGTACCACAGACAAGGAAATACGTCAAGATGTATTTTGACTTACTTGAGGGAGTCCCATATAAAGACTACAAAAAGGGGAAAGGAAGAGCCAAATCTAGACTGAAAAAGCTAAATTCACTTTCATGAGACTAAACAAAAGCAAAGGAAGTGATTTTGTAAGCGACTTTTTGCTCGCAAGAGTGTTTTCCCAAATTTTACTAGGTAACTTAAGTAATCACATTGAAGCTCATTACTCAAATGTTCGCGGCTTTTTCTATTGTTTGGATTATTGATTACCAACAACAACTATAGTTAATAAAAGCGATGATATATGAGAATACAGAAAAGACCAACGAGATTTATGAAAACGCGAGGATGTCCCAAGGCGGCATGTCCGCCATCACAGTAGACAACGCGTTTATCACCACAGTCTTTCGGTGGACTTTGTGCAACGAGGTGCATGGCGATGTTGGGATTGATCTGAAAAAATTTTTTACAAGAAGACTTTTCTTCCTGAAAGAGTGTTTTCTAACATCATACGAATCCCTTGCTTTACTATTAAAATACCTTGCATTTCATCACGACATTGCAGCGAAAAGGCAAACATGTGGACTCAGATGGAGCACGAAGTTTCAAATTTATGTCTGTGTATACCGGGAAAATTAATAGGCGCTACTAGATTTTAAAAAAAAACTGTAAGGCTTCTTTAAAAAAGCCCCCGCTAAGAATGAGCCTTGCCTGAGAATAACTTATTGTGTAAGAATTTAGAACCGTTGAACAAACTATGTCAAGATTAAAAAGCCTTCATGACTTACTCCCGAGTTACTCAACGCTCAAAAGTGGATCTGACAAAATATTGGCTAGCTGAAATTTTGGAACGATTGAGAAATTTTCCAGCAACATAACGCAAAGAGGCAACCTGCACAATGTTTGAGCCAAAGCAGAGATTAAAAAAATGGAAGCAAGTTGAAGAAACCAGGAATGGAATAAAATAGATTGAAAAACAGAAGCAGAGCTCTTTCAGTGTAGTTCTAAAGCAATAATAAAAGAATTTCTATCATCTATAACTTGTTTCGATATCGGTTATCTAAGCGGGCTGAGACGTTGTAGCGATGCTCTGCTTTACCTTTTCGGACTGCAGTGAGCATGAGACACATTAGTGGTATGTATGTAGCTCATCCTGATTGAAAAGGACTACACTGCGGGATAATTGAATTTATCAGAATCTCACAAAATCAAAGTACGCAATCGACGTACTTGTTTTTTCGAGATGTCGAATCTTTGCAATCGGTAATCGGCTTGATCCCAAGCCTGTAAAATGTGGTAATTAAACAGTCGAACAATTATGCCAAATGAGGATCTATAAATCAAATGAGAGAAGAAAATTTCAACTGTTCAAAGAGCATACCTGCCCAGTGTGCGTAACCTCATCAAATTCTGCGTTCTTTGTGGTAACTTCTGAAGGTGTTTTCTTCGTGATGCTTGAATATCTTGCCAATGTGATCGGTCTATGACAAGACAGTAAAGCACGCTTCATATCTCTAAAAAAGTGTATCGCAACTTTAGGGATAAATAAATATTTACAGCGAGCACATGTGATAATAAACATAAAGCAGGAAAGAGGAAATCTGGATTCGACAAGAAAAAAAAAGATCCCTTTAAAGAAAGCTTTTGAAGCAGATAAAGATAAGTTCATTTGGCGTCGTTTGCAATTCCAATACCTATCCCTGAAAAATTTCGATGTCTGCCTTTGCTGGTCGAAAAATTGCTTAATAGAGGTTTGTTTGGTAAACGGATAGCTGTTTTTTCAATATTAAGGATGTTGCATAAGCCGATTCTTGTCTACTAACAGACTTGGGCGGACATTATCCAAGCTAAGGGCCCTCCAAGGAATCCATCCACGTTAACATGCCCGCTTCACGCACGAGCTCAGCTGCCTATGAGCCAGCCGTGAGCTTGGACCATATTAGAGTTGTGTTTCTTTGGTGGGATCGAATTTTTGTTATTTCTTTTTTGTTCTTCAAACTTGTTTTCCATTTCAGGTACCAGAAAGAACATAAAACGAGGAGAATCATGAGTTTAGTTAGAAATCCGTGAAAAATCCGTGCCGCGTTTAAGACAATGAAGCGCGAAGAGGCAGCCGTACGTATGTAGGAAAACCGCAACACTACGGCACGGATTACTGTGATAGAAAACTAAGCCATAAGTGTTATTTCCTTTCTTGTGTTTAATTATCTCTCATTTATTTGAAATACATTTTTCCTGGATGGAATGTCCTTATAAACGGTTCTAAATGAAAGCAAACTTCTTTAACTTGTATATAAGGGTAACTTGATATGCTGGTAACGTATATGATAATGAATTGTAAAATTCATTGAATAAATAATAATTTCAAAAACTTCTACTTCATAGGATGAAGCTGCATGCAGAGAAGGTAAGAAACTATACCTTCTCCCCGAACGTCAAGTGTTTCACATGTATACATAATATGTGAAACACAGTGTTAAGGAAAGTACAGCAATACACCAAAATAAAAAATAACGGGGAGAAGCAGATAAGAAAACATAAACATCCTCAACACAGTGTTAATTTTGAGATTAGAACCGAAAAATCGGGAAATGTTACTTATTTTGTCGTAAAATATAATGTTCTCAGTGTTAACAGCGGGTTCTCGGTGAATACAGCGTTGAAATTCGAAGTTAAAAGTGGAAAATCAGAAAATATTATTGATTTTGTCGCAAGCTGTGATGTTCAGTTGGATGCACACTGCCTTATTATTTCACGCCTAAAACCGAGTCAGTACCAGGCTGATCCTATACAACTGTTCAATACAGTATATATCAACTA